CTGTAAAACCAAATGTTCAACCATGTTAGGAATAGTTCATAATTTGATAATTAACTCTTCAACAATTTCATTACTTTTCGTTACTTTGTTGAAGGCATTGTTGAAGGCGTCTACTGATGTATGGTATTTTTTTGTTATATTTTATCGACTTTCGAATTTTGCAGGGTGGTTTGAAGCCTGCTTTTTCGAGAAATCCATTTTCATGGCACCACACCGTAGCAAATGAAAATGTGGGTCTATCCACACAACCCGAGAAAACATTTCCGGCAAGCAACTTAAAGCAACCTCAGATTCCGTCCACCCTTGTCTTGGCACCTCAATCTCAATCGTCTGCTGCAGTTCGGCAGTGGGTCCACCAACACCAAGTGGTACCACCGGTAGGTGGTACATCTTTCCAAACAGCTTCTCAACAATGGCACTCACCTTTAACTCCGGCAAAAACAAAATTAGACTCGGAAATTATGCTAGATACAGATAATTTAGCTAATTCTACCTTAGGTAATGTTCAGCCATTGCCGGGTGAAAGACAAATTGGAAGGCCACCATCTGTTAGAGTACAACCACATCAACCAAAACTGGCCCAAGTATCTTACGGGCCTGAGCCTACAGTTTCCAGTTCTTGGAGAGTTAGGCCGGGTTTAGAATCAGAACCTCGTTATCGGGAAATTCCTCGATCAAATCATTATAATGCTTACACCCGAGGACCTCTGGAGAGAAATCACTCAGAGGAGGCACCTAGGTTTGAGACGTGGAGCCCAGAAAAAAGTCCAATGAGGACTCGCGAATATGTTGTGGGCCCGAATCAACCCCAATCGATAATGAACTCGAGACATGGTTATGGACCCGAAAGGGAAATGCTGCAAAATCCATCGCAGCCATCGGGCTATTGGGACAATGGCCGGGGTGGAAACAGAGGATGGCAAGGTGGGGGAAGATAGCCTGTGATTAATCTGCTAATAGAAAAGTTCTAAGTTTTGCATATTCCTTTTTAAAGAGTACTTTGGATTTTTGTTCTCAATTTGGATAATTTATTGTGTTTTACATTCAAAAGCTTTTAACTTTTAAACGTTTGAGGCAAGTTACTCAACACACATATGCGTTTGTATATATGTATGCATATCCTTTTATTTTATACCAATATGTCTAATAAGTTAAATTAAATAATAATGTCAGACGTAATTTAAGAAGAAAAAAATCATTGATTTGAATGCATGTAGATGGGAGAGTTGCTTTGATGTAGTGAAATGGAAAAAGAATAATATTGTGCATTTTTGAGTCTTAAATAATTGGAACGATGTTTGTATTTGTAGCCTGTAGGCATGTTACATTGAACATTGGAGAACATTCCATATCTAGTAGGACTTTTGCCAGTTCGTTTGTAACAGTTTTATAATATTTTTGTTAAATGATTTTTTTTCCGAAAAATCAAAAATCAAAAATCAAAAATAACAAGTTTGAACAACAAAGAACGTAGGATTTGCTTAAAAGGAAACGCTAGTTCCGGTGTTTATCTTCCCAAATCAAAATTCTCGCGGACGCCAAAAGCTTGAATCCAATTGAAAATTGAAGAGTTTTAACTCTGAATTAAGATGGGTTAGATTCTTGACAAACCTCAATCCAATTCATAAAGTCTCCAAAATTCCATCGACTTACACTTGCAAGAATTTCAATGATCCCACAGCTGAACTTCTTGCTCTCAATCCTGAGTTCTATGGGAGTTGCAACGACAACCGTAATTTCAAGATTTAAAGACGGTGGCATATAGGGCATTCCCACCACCAGCAGCAGGATCTCCGCTCCGGCAAGGAGGCGGAGAAGATTTTCCTCCTTGGCCTAGCTGTAAAGCCTTGACTGGTTATCGCTCCGGCAGCACTGCTATTGTTGCTGATGCCGTGCATTCAATCTCTGATATGGTATAAATACAGTTCAAAAACAACTTTTTGTTATTAGTAGCATGACACTGGATAAATTAAAAGTTTCATGATTTTTGTTCTTTAATTTTTGTTTAGTAAATTGTATTAATCTGATGGTGCAGGTCTTGAGTGGGGTGGCAT